CACCCCTTCCAGCAACATATTGTTCCCTGACCATTGATGTAAATCGTATTCTAAGATGTTGCAGCTACAACCAAGGGCATATAAGCCAGTCTTAGTGAGATACACATAGCTGTCATTAAGGGGGAAAAGAGAAAGATTGGTGCCTTTGGGTTTAGAGCCTGTATAAAAGTCTGGCAGAACCTTTTTAAGATAAGGCCTTAGGGTTTTGAGAATATGTCTGTCAAGCAGGCTGAGAGGCCTGTGAAAATATTGCTGATTATTTCTGGCAGCTGAAGCTACATAGAGTACTTCTGCTGTAGGCTTCTAAAGGAAGACAGAATTGAGGACTTGTAAAAAGGTTTCTGAATTAATAACTAGATTGGTCAGTATAGTGTAACAGGAGATCAGAAATACATTTGCTGCTGTAAGTTCGTGATTTAGTTTGCCAAAGGTGCAATTTTTTTTTTTAAATGAGGAAATTACCAGAAGCAGGAACAGATACAACACAGCATTGTTTTCCCTTGACCCTGGGTTCCCTGTGGGACACACAGCTGTCAGTGGCTCTTTTTACATAGATAAGATCCTTTAAGAATTGTGAAAGTTGCCCAATTTTTGCTATACAACTGCCTTCTATAAACCAAAAACCAAACTCATTGCTGTCACGTTGAACCCAACTCATAACTCCTTGGGTTTCCGAGGTGGTATCTCTATGGAAGTAGATTGCCCAACTTCTTTCCGGGAAGTGGCTGGTAGGTTTAAACCTCCAGCCTTCTGGTTAGCAGTCAAATGCCTTAGGCATTATGGTACCAGAGCTCCCACTGCTTTTTATACTCAGGCTTATATCACCAGAAAGAACTTCCATTAATATTTTTCTAAGCATAAAAGCCAAAGTCCTAACAGTGGTCTGCAAGGTCCTATGTGATTGATCTGTGCCTTCCTCCATGCCACCTTACCTTGTTGACTACATCTCCTATTCCTTACCTTCTTGTTAGCCACACTGGCTTCCTCAGTAATCCTCAAGTAGGTGTACTGCCACAGGACCTTTGGATTGGCTGTTTCCTATGTCTGGAATTTCTTTGTCCTAATCTCCTGATCTGGGAGCTCTGGTAGCATAGTGCCAAGGCACTTGACTTCTAACCAGGAGGCTGGCGGTTCAAACCCACCAGCCACTCCTCGGAAGGAAGGTTGGGTAATCCTACTTCTGTGGTGATAACTGCCTTGGAAACCCAAGGAGGGGTTGCTAGGAGTCGGGGCCGACTCGATGGCAAATAACAACAATCTCCTGATCTACATGACTTACTTACTTACCTACTTGAGGTCTTTGCTAAAATAGTACCTTTTTAATGAGGACTCCTTACTCTACTCCTAGTATGCCTGATTCCCCTTACTCTTATTTTTCCCCACATAGCACTTAAGACATTTTAAATACTGTTTGTTTATTCATTATCCTCTTCTGTTCCCCTCCTACTAGAATGTAAACTTCAGAAGAGCAGCAGTTTTTGTCTTTTTTTCCGCTAGTATATCTCCCATTGCTTGGAGCAATGCTTGGCACACCAAAACCAAAAAATCCACTGGCATTGAGTTAATTCAGACTCATAGTGACCCTTTTTAGGACAGAGTAGAACTCCTTGCCCCATAGGATTTTCAAGGTTATAAATCTTTACAGAAGCAGCTCCTACAGCGCTCCTTCACCTGGCACACAGTAGGTGCTTAATAAATAATTTTTGTTGAATGAGTGTTTTTACTTCCATTTAAGGACATTTTAAAAAACATCACATGTATCTAGTTCTTGACCCAAACTCAGAAAGGCCAGAGCCTCATCTTAGCATCCCTAAACACTACCACTACCGCTCATTTCTCAGTGGCCTTGCAGTGTACCTTCTGATTCTGACTTAATACCCTTTTACTCAGTGGGTCTCCTCCCAAGTTTGAGCTCAGGACCACAATGACAAATTCATTTTCTCAAGTGGGAGAGCAAATATTAGGAGTTAATTGCCTCTAATGGAATCTATTTCAAAGATTGGAGGTGTCTAGGAAAATAGAACACAGCTGCTGTTTTAACTTTTTGAGAACCTTTTCTGTTGCTGTTCTGTGTGCCTCTTTAAAATAAAAACAAATTACTTTGGGGATACAGTTTTGGAAATTTTTTAGACATAACCAAACACCTCATGGGACTGAGATAATGGGATTGAAGGCTTAGTACCATAGTCTTGGGACATATAGGTCACCTGGCATAACATAGTTCATAAAGAGTTCTGCTTCCTACTATGGCAAGTAGCATATGGGATCTTAAAAGCTTATAAGTGGCTGTGGTAGTTAAGTTTGTCAACTTGGCTGGGCCTGGTTTAGTGGTTGAGCAGCTGGATGTATTTATTCTCCATGGTGAGATTGGTAATCAACTTCATGGTGGAATCTACTGAAGCAGCTGAGTAGCTGCTTTAGAGATGTGATCTGCTTCCAGTGTATAAGAAACAGCTTTGAAGAAGGTCTCCAGCTTATGGCATGCTTGGACCTTGCATGTAGCTGAGTCTTCATTCAGTAGCCTGCCACGCCCTGCCAATCATGGAAGCAGTAGTCAAGAAATCAATATATTGCATTAGTCAGATCTGCTGCAAAAGACCTCTACAATTTCAAAAAGCAAAGATGCCATTTTGAGGACAGAGATGCACCTTACAGAAGCCATGATATTTTCAGTTGCCTCATTTGCATGTGGAAGCTAAATGATGAATAAGTGAGATGGAAGAGAATCAATGTCTTTGCATTATGGTGTTCGTGAAGAATATTGAATATACTATGGACTGCCAGAAGAACAAACATATCTGTCTTTGAAGAAGTATAACTAGAATGTTCCTCAGAAGCAAGGATGGTGAGACTTCATCTCATGTGCTCTAGACATATTATGAGGAAAGAACAGTCCCTGGAGAAGGATGTCATGTGTAGTAGGTAGAGGGGTCAGCAGAAAAGAGGAAGACCCTCAACAAGTTTGATTGACATAGTGGCTGCAACATTGTGCTCTAACATAGCAACAGTTGTGAGGATGGCGCAGGACCAGGCAGTGTGTTGTTCTGTTGTACATAGGGTCATTGTGAATTGGAACTGACTTGACACAGCACCTAACAACAGTTCTGACCTTGCTGTGCCTTGGCACTCTCCCAATGGACAGCTCTAGAGATCTTAATTACTCTTGCCTAAATCAGAGGATTTGACAGTTTAATCCAAGTGTCCTTTTAAACCAATGCCTAGCCACATCACTTTACAGTCTTTGGTGCCCTGGAGATTTGATCTGCCTACATTCTAATGTATGGTCAAAACTGAGAATTCTTCAAGATTGATATTAGTTAGAATTGGAACTACAGGAGGATTTCATGGATTTCAGTTTTAGTATCTTTTGGCTTCTGTTCATCTCCTTTCAAAGCAAGGACCACTAAAAGAAATTGACTCTTAAGGTCTCGTTACCATTTTAAACCTCAGTAATTGTATGTGCTGTTAGAGGATTTACAGTTTAAGAGACCATCTGGAGAATCTGCTCAAAGCTTTCCTTTCCATTCTGAGAGCTATTTAAACATGAAAGCTTCAAATGTTGAAGTGTGCATTGTTGCCCAAGGGGAAATTAGCTTAGTGACATGGAATGGCTGCTTTTATCAGGAGAAGAACCTGTCAAATTTTCCCTATGAAGGGTTCTACTCTCCACACACTCTTGGAGTAAAAAATGTCCTAACTTTTCCTAAGAATAATTAAGTATAGATTTTATGTAGAATCTGCTGCAGATTGGAACTATTGGAGGGCTGCTGGACTTTCATGAAATTCACTTGACCCACCGGGTGGACTAGGAAAAAATATAGGAAGAGCGTTCTTATTTGAATCAACCTTGAAGGGGAACTGAAGATGCTGTTCAGATTAAATTTTAATTAGCATCAAAAAGAAAGTAAATTGACATTTTCTGTGATGAGTTTCATGATTTCTGCTATATTTTTAACTGTATTCAGACATCAGATATTGTAGATAGAGCCTTCTGTTTTGTCAGAGTATCTCTGAATTCTCAGATAATGTATTGGTAAGTATGGTTTGGAATAAGACACTAGATTTCAAAGATTTTTGGTGTTGGAACAGGAATACAGAACTACAGGTGGATTTCACTCCAGCAGCTAGCAGAAAGGACTAGTTTTGTTTGCGTCTCAGATGACGTATCTCACACAGATGGAGTCAGTGCCATTAAAAACCTGTCACTCAGCACCAGTCCCCTGGGATCTGTTGACTAGATTGTGTGGTGCTTAAAACACATCTGATTGATCATTCCTCGGAGAACTGGAGATGGTTGGCGTCACTGCCTGGTCCTAGCTTGGACCAGCCTGCAAATAATTTTTCCAAAAGCTAAATGGAAAGGAGAAATAAAAGCAAAAATATTCTTCAGAGACTTTGAAAGGTCATAAGTGATATCATAGAATAGGAGGTGATATAATCTCAAAGGTGAGCTGCATAGCACTTGACTTGATATTTCTTGTGTCAGTGCCTCCTTTGGTTACTTGTGGTGAGCAGTGTCTGTTGTGCCTGACTTGCCAGAGTTCAGACTGAGTTCATTTCATACCTTTTTATGGTGCTTTTGAGTACACTGGAACAAGGTTAGAATATTAATTTAGCCTTCTTATCTCCAGCTGTGGCACCAAAAAGAGGCCGGAGCTACCGCAGTAAGCTTCTTATCCTATGGAAAGGAACTAATTGCTGGTTACAGCCTGAAGCTGACAAGCTCCTCTTTCTCCAGCAGCCACTGAAAGTAGCTTTTAAAAATCATTGTTATTATTAAGCATTTATAGCCTGCTTTTGTATTTTCAAAGTGCCTTATAATCATTTCTATTTGCTCTTCCTATTGGTGCCCCTGAGAGGCAAGTTAATATTGTTATGGCACATTACATGTGACAAACTAGAGGAACAGAGAGGATTAGGCAATTTGCTCTTTTAGTACCATCTGTGATCTGCTTTATGTATCTTCAGAACAGACCTGAGGTGTGCATTCTGTTCCTTAGCTCATTGAACCCATTTCTTCACTGCTTGTTTTTAATTTTGTGTGTGAGTATTGTGACTTTTACCTTTTTTATTTTAATTGCAACTCAAAATAAGAAATGTATTTCACTTGTACACACGTACATAAAACAGACAGGTTCAAGAAACATTTACTCTTTATGAGATATACTATGATATTTTTAATTTTATTTCATTGTGCCAGTTTCATCCACTATATTACTTTTAAGAAATACCAGTTGGTCATGACCCACAGCTAGGTCATGCTCGGAGTTACTTAAAGTTACTTATATGGCACATTTTCCTGGAGCATCAGTTTTACTGAAAAGTAATGGAGAAATACATTTTCATATTAAAATGTATATAGGTGTGTTTCGGTTACCTGGTGCCACTCTGACGGGAATATACCACAGATGAGATGCTTCAACAAACAGGAGTTCATTCTCTTACAGTTTGGAGGCTTTAAGTCCAAGTTCCAAGTGCCAGGCTCTAGGAGCTGGGTGAAAGCCCCTCAACCTTAGGCTTTCAGCTCTGCCTCCTGCTCCCGGCCCACTGAAGCTAGAGGCTTTTCTTCACTCAGACACCTGCTGGCTGCTGAGACTTGACAAGCCAAGGTTGACAGATAAAAAGGCACAGTCCTGATGTTTCCAAACCACACAGCAAGCCATTAATTCAAGTCTGTTGAAAGTCCCAAGGTCGGCAGAGCATGGCAGGCTGCTGAACAACAGCACGGCTACATGCAGGGTTCAAGCATGCCATAAGCTAGAGACTGTTCCCCAAAGAAGCAGACCACATCCCTAAAGCAGCTACTCAACTGCTCACAGTAGATTCCACCGTGGAGTTGATTACCAGTCTCATTATGGGGAATACTACATCCAGCTGCCCAGCCACTCAACCAGGCCCAGCCAAATTGACACACAAACTTAATTATCACAAGGTGTATCATGGAGTTACATAGAACTCAAAGAAATTGTATTCTTATGGTGGAGTATTTCAAATTATACCCCAGTCTTGACCCTTCCCTCTACCTGCACCCCTGTGAATGCTCCTACTTTCCTCTTCTATTAAGGGAAGTACTCTAGAAAAAACTTGCGAAGTATTATTCTTTTAAACCCTTTAGACTAGTTCATGTCTCATCTAAACCCAAATGGGGTCAGGAACTTTGAATAATACATTTTACAGTCATTCTTATTGAAAAGGAGTCCTAGTGGCACAGTAGTTAAGATCTTGGCTGCTACTGAAAAGTTGATGGTTCAAACCCACTAGCCTTGCCTTGGGAGAAAGATGTGGCAATATGCTTGCATAAAGATTACAGCCTTAGAAACCCTATGGAGAAGTTCCACTCTGTCCTGTAGAGTCACTATGAGTTAGAATCAACAGCACACAACATTTTTACTGTACACTTATTGGCACTCTGTGCTAGGCACTGTTCTAGAAACTGAGGATATATACAGTGGTGAACAAGAGATGAAAAATCCCTTCCATCCTTGAAATAGACTCTAAATAAGTAAAGCACGACTAATGAAGAACAAAGTAAGAGGCCTCACGCTTCTGATCTCAAAACCTACTACACAGCCATGGTATTTAAAACAGCCTGGTACTGATATAACAACAGACAACATAGACTGGAACAGAATTAAGAACCCGGAAGTAAATCCGTCCACCCATAGATAGCTGATCTTTGACAAAGGGCCAAAACTCATTAAATAGGGAAAAGATAGTCTTTTAAACAAATAATGGTGGCAAAAATAGATATCTATTTGCAGAAAAGTGAAACAGGAGCCGTATCTCATAACCGTATAAAAAATAAACTCAAGTGACATCAAAGACAATATAAAACCTAAAACTATAAAGACCATCAAAGAAAAAATAGGGACAAACTTAGGGACCCTAATACATGGCATAAATAAACCATAACTAAAAATGCACAAACACCAGAAGATAAAGTAGATGACTGAGACATCCTAAAAATTAGACTCTTAGGTGCATCAAAAGATTTCATCAAAAGAGTAAAAAACGAATCCACAGATGGAAAAAAAATTGGGCAACAACATATTGGAGAAGGGGCTAATCTTTAAAATTTATGGAAAACTTCAACACCTGAACAACAAAAAGACAGTCCAATTAGAAAATGGGCAGAGGACATGAACAGACACTTCACCAAAGAAGACATTTAGGCAGCCAACAAATACATGAAGACATGCTTGCAGTGATTAGCTATTAGATGCAAATCAAAACAACAATGAGATATCTCATCCCAGCACTAATAGCAAAGTTCAAAAAAAAAAAAAGAAAAAACCTGAAAACAACAAATGCTGGTGAGTGTGTGTATGGAGAGACCGGAACCCTCATACACTGCTGGTGGGACTATAAAATGATAACAGCCACTGTGGAAAATGGAATGGTGCTTTCTTAAAGAGTTAGAAATAGAAATACTATCTAAACCAAAAACAAAACTCACTACTGTCGAATTGAATCCGACTCATGGTGACCCCTCCTTGGGTTTCTGAAGCATTATCTCTGCAGAAGTAGATTGCCCAGTCTTCCTTTCAAGGTGTGGCTGGTAGGTTTGAACTGCCAGCCTTCTGGTTAGTAGTCAGATGCCTTAGGCACTATGCTATCAGAACCCTCAAGAAATACCATATGATCCACCAATCTTTTATGTCCTAGAGTAATAAAAGCCCTGACATAAACAGATATATGCACACCTGTGTTCACTGCAGCACTATTGCAATAGCAAAAAGACAGTAATAACCAAAATGCCCATCAACAGATGAAAGGATAAACAAACTGTGGTGCATTACACATAATGGAATAGTACTCAATGTTAACAACAATGAATTTGTGAAACATCTCCTAACATGGATGAACCTAGAGGACATTATGCTGAGTGAAATTCATCACAAAAGGACAAATATGGTATGAGACCACTGTTATAAAAAGTCAAGGGAAAATTTTCACACCAAAAGAAATACTCTTTGATGGTTACAAGGGGTGGGAGAGGAAGGGAGGATAAACACTAACTAGAGGGTAGATACACATTAATTTGGGTGAAGGGGAAGGCAATATACAATAAAGAGGAAGTTGGCACAAAATGATCAAGGAAAGGAAAAATCTGGGAAGAGTATGAGAGTTAAAAGTAATAGGGGTAAATACTCATTCACACATAATCCTGCAGTAATAATAATAATCTGAGTGGATACATAGATAGACATACAGGCTGAACAGGTGTGGGAAGTAGAATGGGACTATACCAGTGAATATACATAGGTTTGACAGAGGATATTTACATATGTATTTACATATGCTGCAAATATATCCATGAATATAGTAGAGCATACAAGGGGCAAAATTATGAAAACTTCTTAGCCATAATAAAAAATGTGAGAGGATGTGAATTGCTGGGTGTGGGGACTCAGGACTATAGTCTCGGGACAGCAAGTTCAGTTGGCACAACATAGTCCACAGAGATAGTGTTCTACGTCCTACTTTGGTGAGTAGCCACTGGGGTCTTGAAAGCTTGTGAGTGGCCATCTAAGGTGCAACAACTGTTGGTGTCTCCAAGTCCACAGCAAAGAAGAGTGAAGAAAATCAAAGACATGTGGAAACAATTAGTCCAAAGGATTAAAAGACCACATGAACCCCAGCCTCCACAACCCTGAGACCAGAATTAGATGGTGCTGGACTACCACTACCGACTGGTCTGAAAGGGTAACTTTAGAAAGTCCTGGATAGAATGAGAGAAAAATGTGGAACAAAACTCAAAGTCATAAAATAAGATCAAGCTTACTGGTCAAATAGAAACTGGAGGAACCCCTGAAACCATGGCCCTTGGTCACCCTTCAGACCTGGAACCGAACTTACTCCTCTCGCTCAGTTTTCATTCTAACAGTAGACAAGTCTACAAAGTGAACAGTAACTCTAGGAAGGTACACACTCCTTAGAACAATCAATCATTTGAGATCAAAAGGGCAGCATTTGTTACCAAGGACAAAGTTCAGAAGGCAGGAAGGGTTAAGAGATGAACAGAAAGGAGAAACACAGGGAGGAAGTAAAAGGAGTGATGTTACATTGAGGGGATTGCAGTCAATGACATGAAACAAAATTTGTGTGAATTGTTGAATGGAAAACTGATTTACTCTGTAAACTTTCACCCAAATTCCAATAGAAAGTTTAAGAAGAAAAATCCCTTCCCTCCTAAAACTTGGGGTTGGTGCCTTGGGGATAGGCAATAAATCAACAGATAAATAGTATGTCAGATGGTAGTGAGGGCAGTGGAGAAAATTGAAAAGAGACTGGGAGAGGGAGCCTGGAGCTGGGGTGGGTGGATGGTGTCACTTCATACATAGGTTGGTCATGGAAGACCTCCCTGAGAAGATAATGTTTGATTAGAGCAGAGACCTAAATGAGCCATGCAGATTTGTGGAGCAAGAGCATTCCAGTCAGAAGAAACAGCTAGTACAAAAACTATGAGGTTAGGAGTATGCCTGATCTGTGCAAAATCAGCAGCAGGCAAGGGGAGCATAATGGCACACAAGATTAGAGGTTTTTATTCGGAGTAAGAAGGGAAGTCATTGGAAGTTTGAGCAGAGAAGTGTTTACCAGATCACTCTAAATGCTATATTAAGAACAGACTAGGTAATCAGTAGGGTAGGGAAAACAAGAGCCGAAACGGAGGCCAGCTAAAAGGCTTTGCGGTATTCCATTTTCTGAGGGAAGACAGAGGTTCAGGATGGGGATGGGCAAGATCAAGAATTTGATTTTGGACATATGCATTTTGAGGTATCTGTCAGTTATCCAAGTAAAGATGTTAAGTGGACAGTTGAGTATACATGTGATAATTGATTCCCACAGACAAGCTAGGCACTAAAGCCCTTAAAAAATGGTTCTTTAGCTTGTCATGATTGTGTCTTCCTATCCTGTACCTGATGCTACAGTTAATTTGAAATAATTCAACACACCCATCCCTCTTTCTTTCCTCCTCCTTTTCCCTCCCTCCCTTATAGTGAAATCAATACTATACTCTTTAAGG